AGCACCCCATATTGACAGAAAAACACGGAATTGTTGACATTTTTGCAGATTTATTAAAAAAGTAAAACTGAAATATCACATGGTCCTACGTATTCAGACCCTTTGCTCAGTATTTAGTATAAGCACCCTTTTGATCTAATACAGCCATGAGTCTTTTTGGGAAAGATGCAACAAGTTTTTCACACCTGGATTTGGGGATCCTCTGCCATTCCTCCTTGCAGATCCTCTCCAGTTCTGTCAGGTTGGATGGTAAACGTTGGTGGACAGCCATTTTTAGGTCTCTCCAGAGATGCTCAATTGGGTTTAAGTCAGGGCTCTGGCTGGGCCATTCAAGAACAGTCACAGAGTTGTTGTGAAGCCACTCCTTCGTTATTTTAGCTGTGTGCTTAGGGTCATTGTCTTGTTGGAAGGTAAACCTTCGGCCCAGTCTGAGGTCCTGAGCACTCTGGAGAAGGTTTTTGTCCAGGATATCCCTGTACTTGGCCGCATTCATCTTTCCCTCGATTGGAAGGGTTCTGGTCGTCCCAAATGTCTTCCATTTAAGGATTATGGAGGTCACTGTGCTCTTAGGAACCTTAAGTGCAGCAGAATTTTTTTTGTAACCTTGGCCAGATCTGTGCCTTGCCGCAATTCTGTCTCTGAGCTCTTCAGGCAGTTCCTTTGACCTCATGATTCTCATTTGCTCTGACATGCACTGTGAGCTGTAAGGTCTTATATAGACAGGTGTGTGGCTTTCCTAATCAAGTCCAATCAGTATAATCAAACACAGCTGGACTCAAATGAAGGTGTAGAACCATCTCAAGGATGATCAGAAGAAATGGACAGCACCTGAGTTAAATATATGAGTGTCACAGCAAAGGGTCTGAATACTTAGGACCATGTGATATTTCAGTTTTTCTTTTTTAATAAATCTGCAAAAATGTCAACAATTCTGTGTTTTTCTGTCAATATGGGGTGCTGTGTGTACATTAATGAGGAAAAAAAATTAACTTAAATGATTTTAGCAAATGGCTGCAATATAACAAAGAGTGAAAAATTTAAGGGGGTCTGAATACTTTCCGTACCCACTGTATATATATAAAGTAGTATAACAGTAGTAGTATAATGTAGATGAATTTATTACTACCATTCAAAAGTTTAAGATTCATTAAAGTTTGTGAAATAAATTTGTTATGCTCACCAAAGCTGCATTTGATTAAACTACAGTAAAAACAGTAATTTTGTGAAATATTATTACTATTTAATTAAAATAATTATTTTCTATTGTACAACATTGTAAAAATTAAATTATTCCTGTGATGATAAAGCTGAGTTTTCAGCAGCTTTTACTGTAGTCTTCAGTGTCACATGGTCCATCAGAAATCATTCTAATATGCTGATTTTGTTTTTAAATATTTTTGTGGAAAAGAGGATACACTTTCTTCAGGATTTTTTGATGAAAACAGTTCACAAGAACAGCATTTATTTTAAATAGAAACCTTTTGTAACATTGTAAATCTCTCTACTGTCACTTTTGATCAATTTAATATTTCCTTGCAAGGTAAAAGTATTAATGCATTTCAAAAAATAAATCTTATTGACCCCAAACTTTTGAATGGTAGTGTAAATATATATAATATATGACCGTCATATATGACTGAGTGTTTAGAGACAGAGATGCAGTTAGTTAAAGTCATTAGTAAAATAAACAATGCAAAGACAGTTTTGAATGATTTTTCATTAAGTAATTTCACTGTTTAGTAGAAGTTTAAAAAGCAACTTTTAGGAGCAGACAATGAATGAATGAATGAATGAAAGATTTTACACTGATAAGTGACATCCTCGCTCATGAGAAGCACCAGCCGCCAGTGCACCCGAGTTATGGCATCGATTAAATCAGACTTGACTTATGTGACACTACAAGCTCAGGTTATATTTTAAAAATCCATAAACTGATCCACAATGCCACGCTCACATTTACGTTCGCTCTCAGCTCTAACCCAATAATGAAAAGAGGTTGGATATGATGAAGGGGCGGAATGGAGACTGGGAAAAGATGTTCTCATTTACATTCTTAATGTTTGAAAATCCATTAACCCACTTTGCCCTCAGCCAAGAGTCCATGGCAAATCCAATCAGTCTGTTCCCTGTCTTTACACAGCCGTGTGTGTGAGAAAGAAGAGAGATGGAGAAAGTTCCATTTCAAAGTAGCCTGGGAAATGTGAGTGGGAAGGGAGAGAGAATAAGCGAAAGTATAAAGTTAACTCAATTTGTGTCCTCCATGTTTGTTCTGCCAGAAAAGTGGAGAAGAAAAATATGATGAAGGACTGCAGCAGAATGTATAGCTGTCACCAATCCAGACTATGGTGATGTTAGCACTGTTTTTATATGCACAACTTTACACCAATTATGCTTAATTACTCGTGTTCTGTCCCCCCAAGGTATTGCAAACACCTTAAACTGCATTCTTTTATCTGGTAATAGTAAACATTTTAATTGTTCACATTTCTGGTGACTTATTGAATGTGCACATATCATCTGTTTATGCTTTAATGTCAAAACCAGTGTTATTTTATAGCTATTTATATAGTATTATAGTATTTATTACTATTTAGAATTAGCTTTTATATTTATATTTTTATATTTTCAATTTTATTTCCATTTTAGTTTTAAGCATTTTTTATGTGCTATTATATTTCAAGTTAGTTTTCATTTATTTTCATTTCAATTTTAATTTTAGTCATTTTAGTACTTCTATTTAATTATTTTACTTCAGTTAGTTGCCAAGGCATCATTTCTAATTTTCATTTAGTTTTTTCAATTTAAAATTTAAATATTATCATTTTAATTTTATTTTAGCTTTATTTTAATTAATGCAAACATTTTTAACAGTTGTAATTTTAGTTTAGTTAGTTTTGTGTTATTTTGTGTCAGTTATCACATTGATTAATGTTCTGCTGTACATGTAAACAGATTCAGTGATGCTTTCTCTCATAATATTTACAACATTCATATGCAACCCAACTACATCCAGCTGACTTGAAATATTCAGTTTGTTTAACTGATGTTTGGATCGACACACCGCTAATATGCTTGTCCAGTCAATGGAATCTTATATTTAAAACAAACAAAAGAAACCTGCATGTATAGAGATGAATCTCAATTTAATTTCCAATTAATTAACCTTGAATAGTATAACTCCAATGAATAAGAAGAAATTCCTCATCTTCAGGAGCTTTTGCTTTGCCATTGTCACCTTTGACTTGCTTACTGGAAGGGTGAAAGCTGAATTGAAAACTTACACTGTGTGAGATCAGCCAAGACACAAAATAAATAACAGCGGCACACACAAGACAGTCACCCAAAAGTTTGCCAGCAATAACCGTGATTCCCATGTGAGAGGTGAATGTGTGCTGCTCAGAGGAGAAGACTTATGGAGCCTGTAAACATTTTAAGAGTTGATAGGATGAGAAAATGAAGACAGACAGAGAGCAGACCCACCTCTTAGGCAGAGGAAGGTAAGGAAGTCTTCGGTTTTGGGTTTGCGTCTTGTGAGATGGTTGAGCATGGCTGGGCTCGGGGGCATGGCCTCCAGCATTTTCAGCGGGGTGGCATTGGGAGAAGAGGGATAAGACTGAGCAAACTTCCTCTGAGCCTGCAGTCTTGGCCTGGTATGAGAAACAGAGAATTAGGGAAATGAAGGGATTAGTTCTCCTAGAAATGAAAATTCTGTCATTATTTACGCATCTTTCCATCCTTCATTTATTCATCAAGCAATTTTGAAAGCTTTTACTAGTCAAACTTTTCCAAGCAATTTCAACGAATCCTTTCCTCTTCCCTTTTATGTTATACTGAAGAAAGTCATGTGGGTTTTGAGTAAAATGAGAATAAATGATGAGAGATTTTTCAAGTTAGAATTTTTTGGTCTCTTTCATTTAACAGCTCCTGTTTTAATGAGGCTAAAAAACTAGTTCACAAACCAGATTTTTGGAATCCATATAAGGAAAAAAGACAGAAACATCCTTTGGTAGGAAAAGAGATGTTAACTAATCATATAGGAGACCTGCAGAGGGAAGCAGTTTGGTCTGATATACAAAAGCTCAGCAAAAAGTCTGACTATGTAAGTCCTTTTTAATTGGCCAACAGCACAGTATGTTATGTTTTGATGCTTGGATGTCCCCACCAGGTTTAAAAAGCAAGACTTCCATGATTTGATGTTTTGCTGGTGAACAGTATGGACTAGCCTAGAATGTACAGTAACTTCATACTGTATCTTTTTGGCAACTACAGTTATAGATCTGTTATTTTCCCACCTAATTGAAGCAATTTAAGATATATTCATCCATAAAACTACATTTTACCCGTGCAGTAATTTTGAATGACATGCTATAATGCCACAATACACTGTGCTGGAAATCTCACACAGAAAAGTCTTATTAAACTCACCTCTTTCTGACAGGCCCCTCTATTGAGTACTCATGGCTGCAGTCTTTGCTCTGAACTGCATGTTGTGTCCGGTCTGACTTACAGCTTCCAGCGAACAGCCCAGCTTTAGGTCCCGAACCATTCAAATGACCATTTGCAAAGGAGCCTGGGAAAAGAAGGTGTGGTTCAAGTTTAAGCAATAGCCATATACACATAAATACAGAAGAAAATTATTTGCTCTGTTCTTGTTTTTTTTACATTGCTAAGACATTGATATGTTCACATGTGAAAAATAAATCTAATCGGCATAGCACCCACAGCAATTCTTCAAGGCCTCTGAAATGAAGAAGCTTGAAACAGGATTTTTCTAATCATTCAGTCAAAAAAACACAAGTGGACAGTCAGACTAAGAGCACACTTAGAATGAACTGACAGGAAGTAGGAAAAATCACAATGCCTCCAGTGTCCTGTAACATGAGGTCTCAGTCATGTTAAACCAACAAAAATAAACATTTAGTCTATTAACTAAAAATATAACATGTGCATGAGTTATTGTCTATCTTCTTCACCATGATACAAAATTGAGAATAAAAATGGCTCTATCAGCATGTATGCCATATAGACTTGTGCCGGTATTCGGTAATGCGATATATCACGGTAATGAATATGCACGATGTTGTTATCGTGGGCACTTCTAAATACCGTGAATAATTATATATTATATATAAATTATATTATATACAAATTATTACAAATTATTTTGAATTTTGAATGCATTTTAAGAGTACTTTTCCCATAAACTGGTCAAAATGCACAACACTGCTGTATGCTGCGTGAAAGACGCGTGCGCACTCTGATGTAAATAAGCACATG